AGAGAGAGAGAAAGAGAGAGAGAAAGAGAGAGAGAAAGAGAGAGAGAAAGAGAGAGAGAAAGAGAGAGAGAAAGAGAGAGAGAAAGAGAGAGAGAAAGAGAGAGAGAAAGAGAGAGAGAAAGAGAGAGAGAAAGAGAGAGAGAAAGAGAGAGAGAAAGAGAGAGAGAAAGAGAGAGAGAAAGAGAGAGAGAAAGAGAGAGAGAAAGAGAGAGAGAAAGAGAGAGAGAAAGAGAGAGAGAAAGAGAGAGAGAAAGAGAGAGAGAAAGAGAGAGAGAAAGAGAGAGAGAAAGAGAGAGAGAAAGAGAGAGAGAAAGAGAGAGAGAAAGAGAGAGAGAAAGAGAGAGAGAAAGAGAGAGAGAAAGAGAGAGAGAAAGAGAGAGAGAAAGAGAGAGAGAAAGAGAGATAGAGAGAGATAGAGAGAGATAGACAGATAGACAGATAGAGCCTTCGACAATCTAGAGCTCCTAATCATTAAGTCTAACACAGAACAAGTGAACAATGAAGAAAGTTGCATTGCAAATTTCTGTTCCATGCCCAGGTTATGGAATGTAGTGCAACAGGGCACTGGGCAGCAGCAGGACTGCTTGCCTTACAAAGGGAACAGCTTGAACCTCATGATCTGTGTATGTGGGCAATACTGAATGACCTTCATGCTTTCCAGCATTCACTAGAATGCAGATTTATTTGTAATCACAAGTCAGCTGTTCTGTTTTTGGGGACAAACACATATTTGGAAGAGCAAAGGTTTAAACTTTGTATTAAGCAGCCAATACATTAGTTTCATAAGCTGAATTTGAAGACTACACTCCAAAATTGGATAATATTAGAATCTGAGAGAATCCTGACAGAATCATTGTTTGCTGCTCCTTTTTCTGTTTCCTTTGAGAGAGATACGTTCATAGTTCAGTTCCATTATAAAACAGGAGCCTCTCTAGCATATACCTTATCTGAAAAGATGTCTCATTTCAACATAAGAGATACAACACCCACAATGGACAAATAAAGTGATATTGCTCTTGCTGAAATGGACATGATACAAGACTATCTGTATTTTAACAAAGAAAACCCATCAAATTTTTATTTTAAACAATCATTGCCTGTCTCTTATTTGAAATTTTCTTAGGCATGAAATAAAGCACGTTTTGGATAACACAGTTGGCACTGAACTGGATTGCAGTAAAACAGAGCTGGATCCTAGGACAGAATTATTAATATAGCCAGCAGCTGGTTGCACTAAAACCATCCCCAGGACACAATGATCAGTAAATTCTGGGCTTTGTTTAACAGATCAAGGTGATAAACCATAGATTATCTAAAGCTTCTGCATCATAGTGCTTGAACTCCTGGAAAAGAAGTTCTAACTTAGATTTAAACAAAGTCAAGAGACAATGTTGGCCACAACTATTTCTTGATGTGCAGAGACATGAAGGAATGGGACAGGATGAATGATTTTTCCTGCACATCCAAAAATCAAGACATTTAAGAAGCATGTGGAAGCGTACAGTTCCTGATGTTCCAAAAGAAATGGCAAGGAAAATCTTATTTACAAGCATGTGAGATGAAGCAACAGACTTCTGATTCTCAACTTCCTAAGTGCTGCTGTAAGGAATTGAATTGCTACCTCACAACCTGGTGTGTTCTCAGGTATCTGTACAAAAAACCCAGCTGCTGAATAGAAGAAAGTTGAATACTGAACACATAACAGACTTTAATACAAAACTGCCAGCGGAAGCACACGGGACTCTGAGATAATTCATACACACACAGAGGTCTTTATATAAGGTTAATGGTTTGCTAGTCAAGTGCCAAGGTTCACAAAAGAGGCAATTTTTGTTTCTTTTTTAAAATCAGGTCTGAACTTTGTGCATTTTTCCTAACAACACTTCGCTAAAATCTCAGCAGCAACCTAGATGGGCAGAGAATATTTTACTCAGAGGTGTTCTCAAAGACCTAATTAATAAAAGAGCACAGGAAAGCCTCAAGCCTTCAGTTATATACTTCACTTTGCCGATGCTGGGTCGGGCAGCACGACAGCGGGCTGAGCATACTTGGATGACTAACAATGAAACGGGCTGAAAACAGCAGCAATCATGACAGAGACAATAAAGAAGCCCAGCAACCCCACACAGCTCCGAGGAAAGAAAAATCATTAAGAATCGCTTTTAAAAAACGCAGGGAAAACACAGTTATGATGGCCAAACATACTTTCTTAAAGGCCACTTTTCATTAAAAGGATTATGTATGATATTAACAACATATGTATAAATAAAGTATATGGCATAAGCAAATATTAGCGTAAGATCTTGGGCACTGTAAAGAACGAAACTTTAAGGCAAACAGATTACAAAGTGTTGTAATAGAATGACTAATATGTCAAAGGAACGTGTACAGTGTTAAAAAATAGCGATAATTTTTAAAAAACTGTTGTGAAATGAAAGACGGCAGTATATTGAGCTAAATGAATACAATCTTTTGGAGATCTTAATATACGGCACTGTCTTTACTACAATGCTTCAAACTGAAAATTCCTCTGAAGCTTGTAACTAATGAAGAGAGCAAGGCAGAGAAATGATGGGCTAGCAGGGCAGAAATAGGTCGGGTGCTCCATATGGATGCACCGAGGGTGCTTTAGGATGGCTCTCCCTCTCTGCTGAGCACACAGGAAGGACACTTAAGGAACAAGGTACGTGGTGCTTTCCCCAAAAGAGTTCACCTCAGGTCTCCTATCGACATCAACAGCAAGGAACACAGAGAGGCTGTTCAAGGAGTGTTTTCGGCAATGTCCAAAAAACCGTGTGCAGGCTGGGGGGGTGGGAGGTAAAGCAAGAAGGGAAGCAGGAGCACTGGTGGGCTCCTGTGCCTCTCCTCGGCTGCACCGGAGAACGATTTCAGCTGGAGGAAAGGAGTGCACAGGTTGTAGGGCAAAGCTGGTTACAAAAACAAGCTTGAGCCTAGGGGTAGGGCATAAAGGGCTCCTAAAAAGTGACAAGCGATGTCTGAAGTAGAGACTAAATGTTTTAAAGCCAGAGCGAACAGCACAAAGATGGTCCCGGTAAAGGGTCCACAGAGGCTGCTAGAGCAGAAGACCGTGGGCTGGAGGGTGCAGGGTACGAGGTACGTGGGAGGGAAGGAGCAGGAAATTTGCAGGATGGTGCAGGGCACAGCCCGGAGGACGGGAGGGGAGGACAGGTGAAGCAGCCGAGGGCAGGCTCGGGGCAGGCTGAGGCACAGCACACGGGCAGCGTGCCGCAGCATGGCATGGCAGGGGGCTCGGGGGGAAGGAAGGGCCGGAGCGAGGGGCAGGGCACGGCCACGGGCCGGGACCAAGAGCCGGTACCGACCTGGGAGTCTTGGCCGCGGCGCTCTCCCGGCGGTCCAGCACCCCGGGCACGCAGTTGGTGAGCTCGGTCCAGTCGGCGTGCAGCCCGCAGCTCCAGCCCGTGGAGAAGCGTGAGAAGAGCCAGGTCTCCCTGCGGTTGGGCCGGTAGCAGGTGCACTTCTTCTGCCCGGGCCGGCAGTCGCAGGGCACCTCCAGCCGCACGTTCTGCACCAGATGGCGGCCGAAGGTGGTGCCGCCGGTCTTCTGGATGTGCAGAAAGACGATCACGTCCTCGCCCTTCATGTCGAACGCGAGCTCCCGCTCCAGCTCCCGCACGGGGAAGTAATACTTCTTCACGTAGTGCGGGTCCGGCGTGGGAAAGAGGTCCAGCTCCTCCGAGTAGGAGCGGCCGCTGGGAGAACCCAGGCTCAGCCCCGGCCCCACGTACTGGTACAAGATAAGCATGAAGCACACGGAGACGGCCACGATCAGCAAGAACTTGCTGGTCCTCTCAACCATGGTCCTTCCCGCACGCTTCATGTGTCACCATCTCCCGGGGCTGCCGGCGCTGGGCAGACTGCGGCGGTGCCGGGGGGTGGGCGGCGGAGCTTCGGCGTCTGTGCCAGCCGCCTCCCCCCGCAGCTCCCCTGAGCAGAGCCTTCCCCGGGGGCGGCCGGGCCGCTCCCTGGCTCGCCTGGGCTCGCCGCCGTGCCCGCCCGCCCCGCCGCGGGCAGCGCCGGGAGCGGGGCAGGGGCAGCCCGCAGCCAGCCGCTCCGGAGGCGGCAAACTTGGGAGAGAGACGGGCGGGAGGGGGGCGGAGAAGGCACCGAAAGGCAAGAACCAGCCTCCTCCCGCCCTCCCTTCCCCGCGCTTCAGGAAGCCACCCCCATTCCGGCGCTGCCTCCGCCGTGCCCCAGCCCCCGCGGCACCGGCGCGGATGTGCCCGCCCCCGCCGCCGGCTGCGCCCGGGCCGGGCTGGGCTCGGCTCTGCTCGGCCGGCAGCGAGCGCTTCCTGGCCGCGCCGCCCCGCCCGGCATGCACAGCGCCGCTCCCCGCACCGCCCCGCTCCGACCGGCCGCGGCCCCGCCCGGGCCCCGCTCCGCTCCCCGGCACCGCTCCCGGTACCGCCCGAGCCCCGCTCCGCTCCCCGGCACCGCTCCCGGTACCGCCCGGGCCCCGCTCCGCTCCCCGGCACCGCTCCCGGTACCGCCCGGGCCCCGCTCCGCTCCCGGTACCGCTCCCGGTACCGCCCGGGCCCCGCTCCGCTCCCCGGCACCGCTCCCGGTACCGCCCGGGCCCCGCTCCGCTCCCCGGCACCGCTCCCGGTACCGCCCGGGCCCCGCTCCGCTCCCGGTACCGCTCCCGGTACCGCCCGGGCCCCGCTCCGCTCCCCGGCACCGCTCCCGGTACCGCCCGGGCCCCGCTCCGCTCCCCGGTACCGCTCCCGGTACCGCTCCCGGTACCGCTCCCCCGCCGAAATCACCACCACTGCGGACCTAGGTGGGCTGCGAGGCGGCTGCGCCTCCCCGGAGCGCTCGGCTCTTAGCGCTTCCTTTATGTGCCGCCTTAAAATTAATCCCAAAAAGCGGAGCTCGGCGCTCCTCGGGGCCCGGATTTCTGCCCCCGCTTTGAGGCAGCGCTATTAGCAAGGAGAATGTTTGTCTGGGAATAGGAGCGGGTCTGCCGCGGGTCTGCGGCCGCCACATGGACCACCGCAAGCCTCTGGTTGCGATGTCGCTACTGGATGGAAGAGGAAAACGCTCCGGTCACACAGAGGGTGATGGTGGCTGTGAGCTGGAAGAAGCCTGGGCACACCATCAGCCACAGAATGTATTAATAATAATGTTATTAATAATAATAGGTGAAGCTGAGGCAAAATTCGGCAGGGATGTTATTTATAGCAAACTTTCCCATCGAAATGCTTTGTGCTGCTCAGTCAGGCGGGCTCCATCCAGCAGCGAGGCTGCTGCAAGGGTTGGTTTGGAATCTTAAATCTCCCAAAACGAAGGAAAGCGCTGGGAGCGCCAGGCAGTGCCCGGCTTACAGCGATCTCCTCTGTAGGGCAGCACTTAGCAGGGGAAGGTGTTGCTGCGAGGATCGCTGCGATCCGGACCCGCAGAGCCCGGATCCGGCGTGCTCGGAGCCGGGCATCCCCCACCGGAGCGGTGAGGGACAGGCAGGTGGGAGTCACTGCCACCAAGTCTCCAGGGAACCCCTGGAAAACACCTTTGGGGGCCTCTCTGACTGAAAACGGGGGATAAAACGTGGCCTCGTGTCAAAGAGTGAGGCCAAAATGTAGTGGCAGTCATTGAGACCCGAGTTATTGGCTGTGCAAAACAAATTATACGGGCAACTGTTAATTTCTAGCCAAAAAAAAAAGTCTAACCGAAGTGCCCGGTTCTTCTGTCGTTTCTGCTGTTGGAGAAAGTTTCCTTAAATTTCTGGTGCTTTTTTAAAATAGAAGTTAGATTTTAGTGCTCCGGCACTGAAACATTCTGTCAGGTTACATTTCTTAAATCCAAGTTTTAGGTTACATTTTAATCCAAATCAGGTTACATTTTAATCCAAAAGCCTTATGTAAATGTAAAGGAATTCATGCCGATGGGTCATTGTTAAGCACTGGGTCAAATTTATAACGGCCAAGGAGGAAATGAGATCCTGGATTTTCATTTGAACACCCTGACAGATAAATCTGCTACATTTTGAGATGGCTGCATTACTCACAAGTTATGGAGCCCCAGTGAGTTATGCAGTTCTTCCCAAACAAGTAACAATAAAATGTTTATAGCACCCAAAAGCATCATATGTTGTGTTCAAACCATTCATTCTGTTTGATATTTTCCTCTTAAAAGTCTGCTTCTGATTCTCCTCTTCCCATGTAGGTTAGTTACTCCAGAAACAATGATGTCATTCTTATGCACAGAGTTCAGCTACACCGAGAAGCATAGCACAAACCAAATTTACAGCTTTGAAATTTATATTCTGATTTGGGAAAGACTGGCATATACATGATGCTTACATACATGGTTGCGGTATGCATTGCAGCATAAAAAACCAGAATTTTTGATTGCAATGTGTTCACCTACAGTTCTAAAGATATAAGTATTTAGAAATGCCAGAATTGTGGAGAAATCAGTCATTAAATTATTTCCAGTTACATGAGCAATTGTTAATGAATTGTTTAAACTCTCAGGTATAAAATATTCTGCCCTTTTCCTTAGTTATACAGATGGAGATATTTCATTACAGGTTTATATTTGTGGTAAATATAGTCCCTGTTAGTTTGTGAAAGAACATACTAAAATTCAATCCACGTAAGATAAACAGACCACAAAGGAAAATACAGAATTATGGCTGAAAATGTGCTGTTTTCTTTCCTTCATCTAAAGTGGGTGTTTGGGGAACGTGCTGGAAGCACAGGGAAGGCCAATACCCTTCTGATTTACACTTACACTGTTACCTGCCATCCTGCCTTGGAGACACCCCAAAACCAAAGCTCTGGGGTCAATGCTTTTACTTTTATGAAGTGATTTGGAATCCTTCCCTGGTAATTCTACATGCTGCTCTGAAATGCTGGTGTTTTAAAGGTTCCTACAGGTGTGACTCACCTGAAATGATCACTTAAGCACATACCTCAATCAGCCTCTACTTACACTCAAAATTCCACTGAAGACAATAATAGAACAGTTTTTCACTGCATGGGAGTTAAACATTAGGTACCACATCAGTGCTAGTTTAGATCAGTGCTGATTTAGATTAGCATGTTTCTTGGACAAGAGAAGATCCAAGCAGAGTTAGAATAACAAGATCAACACTTTCCCTGGCTCCTGCATTGAGCACAACAGTGTAAAGAGGTGAGAAATCTGGCAAATGCAAGTTGATCCTGCTACCTCCTGTTACATGCTGTAACTGCCTGTTTATTCTCCAAGTTTACCTCCACCATGAATTTAGCCATTATCCATCTCTCCAAGCTGAGCTCAGGCCAGACCTCCCTAGGCTTTCCCACATCTCATCTGGAATTCACCACCCTAGGTCTGACTAGCTCCAGAAAAGCAAAGCTCTGTTTCCTGTGAAGCAGTGAGACTGACAATCTGCAATCATCAAGATGCCTAAAATCTAAATATTTACATAAAAAGCATTTTAGGGGGGTTGGAAAGTTGTATTTTTATCTCTAACCTGTTGACTAAAGGAGCTGCATTTCAGATTTTTCCTCTCCACATTCTGCTAGGCAAATGCAAACCCCTCGCATAGCCCACTGAAGAAGTTCTCTGAACATTTTAGTGTCCATCTAATCCTTTGCATCCTTCCACTCCAGAACTGTGTCAGATTGAGCAGAACCCTCTTATACAAGCAGACTGAAATATTGTGTTTGCCACTTTTGTAGGAATCCCGTTGATCTTGGAGGATAAGCTGTATTGATTTTCAGTGATTTTCTCATGGCTAAGTTCCTTTGGGTACATTTGAAAGGTGTTTTTGTGCACTCCCCAACACTAACCTGTGTTTGTGTAGAAACTAACTTTGAATTCTCACTACAAAATAATTCAGGCTGAGTTCAGGCTTATACTAGCTAAGTTACTTAAGCTTGGTCTACACTCAGCCCCTTTCCTGGCTTTCCTAGCTAGGTAAGCCAGCACTCATGATTTATTCATGGTTAGACCTTGCTCGGAGTCAGGCACAAGGATTAGAGATTTTCTTAGATAATAATAAATAGATACAATAACAATAAATAGACAATAATAGATAACAATAAATAGACACAGATTTTGAACCAGCAGTTGAAAATCATTTTATCATTGCTTGCTGCTGGCTATAGGATGCCTAAATATTTATGTTAAATCTATTAAAATATTCTAATCTAATCCAATAAAATATTAACGTGTGAGTTAACACTGAGGGAAGGACAAACTCGGCTATCAGAGCACAGCTTATTACAGGAAACCTCCCATGAGAAAACAACAGTAAGAAACGTGTAAACCACACACCACATCACCTCTGCCACCAAAACCTCAATGAAATACTCATCTCAAAGCTTAATAAATAAATAGTGGCTTTACTAGGCAAGGGAAGTCTAAAGGCTTCTTGACTCAGAAGATACAATAGTTTCCTGTGAACTAATATAACTTAGTTAACCAAAACATTACAAAAAATCCTCTCTAAACACTTGCAAACCCTAAGAAATACCTCAAGAAATAAAAGTTCTACTACTCCAGTTTAGAAAGAAAGGGTGTGTTTACTTTGTTTCTGGAGGATAAACTCCCTATTAACCCAAATAGGTTGAAACAAGCCACTTGTTACACCAATTTAGCTGTTTGGGTTTACAACCCAGGTCCTTTAGGAAGAGTGGGCACGTGATTTGCTCTGCTGGTGTATGTGCACAATGTCCTGAGTGAATGGTGAGGAGTCATGAATCACAGACTGTAGCCCTTGGCCTGTAACATCAACATCCAGACTTACAGCAAAGCGTAGAACTCTTGTTTTTCTGATACAAACTGGTTTTGCTGGTCCACTGCTGTTTCAGCATCAGTGGCAGTTTCCAGCCCTGCACATTTGCACAGAGTGGCAGCACTCACACATCATTTTCCTGTGATACTTGTACTCCTAGTTGGAAACCTGTAGCACTTTGTAAACTCCAGTGTAAATGCTTTGTGGCCCCACTACTGATGCTGTAGGTTGGTCACAACCCCACGGAGCTTTCACAGCCAGCGAGGTGATCACTGATCCCTGAGTACAGCATGGTTCCACTTAATTAAGGGAAGCAGGTGTGGAATGATGCCAA